TTTCCGCCTAGTGACTTGAATATATCGAAAAGGGGCTTAGTTTTAATCGTTACTTACGTTTTACCATCTGGTATAAGGATCTTTAATCGGTAGCGCGAAGTCCTCCACTATGCACCACGTACCATGGCAATTGCTGTTAATGGTCAGAAGATAGACCTTCCCCCCAATCAGTGCAGTGACTCTTCTACGGCTTCTGCTAAGAAACGTAAACCAAAGTCCTCCAGTATACAGTATTACCGACAAAGACCAGGGAGACTGGAATAGCCATTTCTGGTTTATTAACCTTTGTCAGCCAGTCATACCCAGACTCAATTCACGTCCCACCCTTAGCCTCGAACTCGTGACCGTTTTGATCAGAAGTTTAACATTCTAACCATTGAGCCATCAGCTCGTTGCCTTGCCGGTTTCGGTCGGGAGGTATTGACACTCGTTGATGAACGTTTACCGGTTGCTAACGGAACTCACTCGTCCCGCTCTGCTTTGGGTCTCATTCGTCAGGCCCTAACAGCAACTGCACAGCGGCTAGTATTCTAGTCTCTTGATCTAAACCGCCATTACAACGAGCTCGTGGCTCGGTCGTTAGAGTGTTAGACTTCTGATCAAAACGGTCCCGAATTCGAGCCGTGAGTGGTCGGTTATGACTGGCTGATGACGGCTGATGAACCAGAAATGGCCATTCCTGTCTCCCTTGCCTTTGCCGGCAATACTGTCTGCCTAGACTACTAGCCGCTGTGCGCTTGCTCTTTGGGCTTGCGAAATGAAACCCAACGCAGAGCCGGACGAGTGTGTTCCTTTGACGATCGGTGAACTCTCCTCAACGAGTCCTGTGGTAGTCTACAATCCCTCTCAAAGCCGGCCTCATTGAACAGTGGCTGTGTTGGATGCCTTTCAGAAGGAATGGATGCGATCGTTGGAACAATCTGTTTATTTGCCCGATCGTACAGCTCCTCGCTCGAACCCACCATCAGAAGCAATCACACATAACGCTGATTGAGGCACAAGATCAGCAGTATTTATAGGGGCCACGTACCCACATGCGTCATACAATTAGCAGCTCGTCTGATTATCCCTGGGGAGGTGGCTGTCAGTGGGGGGATAATGGCTTGGCCCTCCGCGTCCCAATCGTTAATTGACACGAGGACATTCTGCATGTTGAATGTTGGCATCCTAATTATGTAGTAATTTGGCTCGCTGTTATTGGTGTGCTTTTGTTGAAGGTTTGCTTCCTGGACCCGTAATCAGTGCTTTGCACAAGTTCCCGGCTTGTCCTGATTAATGTTATAATACCGCAGTGAATTGTTTTGATTTTGTAGGTAAGTGATTTATCTGGTCGGTGTTTAGGTGCACGGTCGGCGACCGAGCGGTCGGTACTCCTTCACTAGTCTGATATTTGACGCGAACCCAAGCTTCAACTCTTGCCGTAACCCTCACCTTAATCTTAAACCCTTTTTTCCGCAGAATTGGGCGCAAAGCCACATGTGTTGTGGGCAGTTCTTATGTTCTTTTGCTGTTTAGGCAGCTCATTGATATGCCGTTTGTCGTTAATCGGTGGTCGTTTTATTTGAATTTTGGTTCTCATGTGTCTGTGTGTGTGCTTTCGCTTGTGTACGATCGCTTGCCGTTTCGTTGAATGCTTGTCCAGGTTACAAACCAGTCTGCTGAGGTTACGAAAAGTTGACTACCTTTTTCGTCATTGTCTGTGTACTTTCGTCGGCTCGCGGTAATAAGAATTGCGGTGTTTTTGCTTCTTTCATCCATAGTCTGTCCTTTCGCTTCTCGTATTTTTTGCATATCGGAGTTATCTATATATATATATATATCTCTCTCCCTCCCTCTGTCCTCTTTCAGAGAACTGAATGAGCGAAGACCGCAGCTAGTGAGCGGGGAGTCAGAAATCATTGGAGACATCATGTTCAGTCATGTGCGTTTGGTTGCTTCTTCTACTTCTGTTCTATCCTATCCCGTCACCTAAAGTGTACACTTTTAGACCCTCTTTCCCCTCCGTGCAACCATTTTGTCTCTATTCGAATCTGCCTCTCGCTGTTATTGTTTTCGTTTTGTTGTGGTTTTTTTTTCAGTTGCCCAGATGTTTCATCTACCGGGACTTTTGTGCTACCCAGGATGCCGGTCTTCTTCGATTGAAGAAACTCTGCGAGGAACAGCCTGCATTAGGGAAGCTCATTAAGGACTGCGAACGACGCACTCGGGCGGGTGTGCTGCCACTAGCCAGTTACTTTATAAAACCGGTTCAGCGAATCTCGAAGTATAAACTTATGCTTGAGAAGGTATGGTACTTGTTTTTTTTCTCTT